ACCCTTCCTCCATTCAATCCTTGAAGACCGAGCTGACAGAACTTGCTGCACAATTTGCCGCTGATCTCATCTCTTCGGGTTACACCGACTACTCCAACTTCAAAAATGAGATCAAGCAAATGTTTGCCTCTGCGGTCACATATGGCGTCGACTCCAGCTCCTCAAGGGCCAATATCAACCATTTAGCAACGTGCAGAGAACTGGATGCGATGATGGAAATCTTGGGAGGTATTGTATCGAAGCATACAGATCAATTAGTCAAAGAAGCACGGGTTACAAATGTCTCTATCGAATATTTCACTAAGAAGCTTCTCTCAGAGGGTGAGTCTCTGCGTGACAACCTCTATCTCTGTGTGCATAAGATGAGGTGGGCTACAGGAATCAATATTGGCAATGCTACTTCCAATGCTGAACATGCCATAGAATTGATGGAGAAGGCTGCACTAAGGATTCTGCGAAGATTGAAGAAGACTTCCCAGGTTACATGCAAGGCAGAAGCCACAAAAGACCATGATGATCATGAAGGTGATGACCATGATCATCATGAGGGGGAGAAGAATACTCCAGAGCCAAAGAAGCCTGCTCCTGCCAAAGGTATCACAATAGTGGAATCTACAACAGCCAGAAAGGATAAAGCGCCAGAGCCTCAAGGCAAAGGGAAAGGCAAAGTTGTAGAGCAACCACAGAAGGGGTCGTCTACAAGCTTAGAGGCTGAAATCGATGAAGAATTATATAAAGATGACCCAGAAATGCTACGTGTTTTGAAGATGTCTAAGGCAGAGGATCAAGCGAGAAAAGGCAGAGCTCCAATATTCATGCCCCCCCAGAGAAGGGGAGGGGACGTCATCAAAGTTCCCATCAATTCAAGAAACATCCACGGGTACGTTCGACACTCTGCAGGGATCTGTCAAACCTATTCTTGCAGAGGGGTCAACCCAGAGGCCCATACTAGAAGAGGATGAACCCAAGATGGCAGAGCACCCCACAGCAGGAAGGGTGGATGAAATCTTTTAGTCGATGAGCAAGATTCCATTCCCTAAACCCCCTACAGAGCCTCTTTCTACCCCAGAAGAAATTCTTGTGTGGAAGTACTCTGCCAAAGACATTGAACCTTCTTATGATCCAGTGGTCACCGGAATTCCTTCTACTTTCGCCAAATTCAAGTTCTCCAGACTTATAAGGCCGCGTGAGCAAGTCTTCACAGAGACTCCTATTGCTTCACTTGTGACTATCTCTCCAAGGACTCTGCTRAAGAAGTCTATCCTTTTTGCTTAATTTGTTGTGAAAAGGAAGGATGGAAATCTTTACAAGTTCACAGACGCTGACTTTCATAATCTTTGTGTGTATGATGTCCTTTACATGCATAAAATACTTAACGTCTACATGGAAAGGAGGTCTACCTATTCCATCCCGCTCATAAGCTGATAGAAGTTATGTGCGCACAAGTCAAGTACTACAGCCAAAAGGACTTCGAGCTTGCAATGACGTTTGTCCAACAAGATCTAAAGATCTCTCCTCCTAACAGCAGGCCAAGTTGGATTCATAGGCATTCACCAAACACCATCRTTCACAACCCCATTTATGGATTTGTGTTTTTGGACAAAGATGAAATCCTACGCATCTATAATCCAACAGAGACACACAAGTTTTCGACAGAGACACTTGAATGGATCTTCAGAAAGGCAGCGGCATAACTGGAGAAAGGGCATCTAAGGTTGAATGAAGTGTCAAAAGTCTTGGAGTCAATCAAAATTCAAATCAACTTCAGAGAATGGATGTTTGAAGTCTACAAAACCATCAAGTCAGATTTGACCTATCCAGTAGATGACTTCCCAGAATCTGAAGTTGGTTAAACCTCTGTAATAATATATGGCCTTATCAAACTCTATCTTTTACGTTTTGTAATTTCTTTTCAGTCAATTCATTTCGAGGATGATGTTTAATCTCCTTTTGTAATTCCTTTCAATCAAGTCATGTTCTTGCACTTTAT